TCACGGACAAGCCATTTAGCTCCAGTTATTGAATGAGAAACGATTGATATTTTAGCTATAATCGAGAACTAATTGTCAAAAACGAAGAATTTTTATTTGTTTATACTATAGGGTCTACTAGATATTAGGCCTATGCCAAGCTATTATCTTATTCTACCATTCAATTTATAACAAACCTGAAGTTAACGAATTCATCACCTACATGATTGGAAGGTTTGGGGTTAAAATTATTTTTAGAAATATATTTTTTACCTTTGCAGATTATAACATGGCTGAGGCATTAAGTAATATTTCAACTACGCCCGAAGCAAAGGATTTAATCCACGACAACACGTGGCTGATAGCTCTGCGGTTCGTGGTCGTTGGTGTTGGAATAGTTCTCAACAGTGTTGTCACTGGAGTGTTCATGTACACACGAATGTATAGAAAGTCATTACTACACGGATTAATTGTCCAGCAATCGTTCGTGGATTTCTTTGGTTGCTGTCTGTTCCTTATATTCTATAGTCAAGACGCACCGAGTGGAAACTGGGGAAAAGCTTTTTGCAAGTGCCGTAGTATTTTCTGGTTTGTTGTAATAACGTCTACGTACAATCTTCTGATGATAACCTTCGAACGATTCATTGCGGTTGTGCATCCGATGACATATAGAAAAAGAAACATTGTGAAAAGATCTCGATTGTTTTACATAGTACCATACATTACTTCTTTCTTGATAACATTTCAGCTCGTGATTATAGCCGATATCAACGAGGATCTAATTGGAGAGTGTCAGTATACTAAATCAAATCCTGAATTCAAACTTTTTTCAGGATTTTTCCTTTTTACGACTTTTTTTTTCTTCCCGGCATGTTTTATGTCTTACTGCTACGGTCGGATCTTGTTGGTGTTCCGTAAAAGGGCAAAGTCACGGCAACAGAACGTTGGGAGTAATCAAGGAGGTACTGATAAACCAAATTCAAGATCACATCACGTATCAATGCAAAGAAATCTTGTGTACACGATGTTTTTTGTCGTTATTGGATTTATTTTCACTAATTCTCCTAACTCCATTATATATTTGGTGTATACTATTTGCAAGTGCTTCGAGTTCAGTACAATTGTTGCACACGAGATTACGGTTCTCATCCAAACGTGCAATATGTGTATCAACCCGATCATTTACGGAATGAAGATGAATGAATTCCGCAGTGATGTACTAAAAATTTGGCGTAGAACATTTACGTTTCTGACGGGCCGTGATGTTGGCGACGAATCAACTTCCATGGAAAACTATCCATGAGTAGTAATGAAATGATAAATTTAAAACATTATACCAATAGCAATGATAATTGTGTATAAGTTACGTTATGCATACACTTAAAAATAATATGTAAATAATATAAAAATATATATCGAGAATAGCATCAATGAAAATATCCTTTATTAATTGCTTAAAATGTAATCCTGACGGGGATTGAACCCACGATTTATCGCTGTCAAGGCGAGTGTCACCTCTTGACCACAAGCACATCTTGAACGCAGATACAATCCATGCAGGACACTTCTCTAAACACAACTGATATACGACCTTAAAAAGTGTGGCTGAGATTTATACCACTTATCGTTTTACATCATAATATATATATACTGTCTCTTATACACATCTAGATGTGTATAAGAGACAGACATTAAGTCTTGTGTATTANNATGTATATATGTGTATATATGTATATATAGGTATATATATATATATATATATATATATATATATATATATACATATATATAGACAAAGTAGACTAAAAAGAAGTAACATTCTTCAGAAGGTGCCTACCTAAGGTGTCCATTAGCCAAACAACACCTATGTTTTAAAAGATCCGTTTGACGCTGTTCATCCCATCAAGGGGATAAGCCTACCCTTTCACCTTTTTCATGCCGGTTGTCGTTTTGCATCATTTGATGTAGAATCACCTTTTACAAATGTTCAGTTAACTTAAAGTAATTAATATTCTACTTGACAGGGTATACAATCAAAAGTTGATAACCCCAATCTTAAGAAAACTACTCTACATAAACTTCTTAAGGATACCTGCACTAAAACGACATTTTTTTTTTTGTAATAATGAGTACTATAAGCAATTTGTGATGGAGCATCAATGGGTTTTTCCTCTTGGTCCTATATTATCTAATATTATTATGACCGAACTAAAAACAGATCATTATTCCGAATTAAGAACAATAAGGAATTATTAAGTTTTATACTCGGTTCGTTGATGACACTTTAGTTCTTAGTTCTATCCAAGCCCACTGATTTTGATCTCATTCTATTCTCGGATCCCATAATTAGTTTACTTTAGAGTTATTCGAAAATAGTGACTCTTATCTTATACACTTTCTCAACTTGAAATTTGACAATGATAAGTCTACACACACTCTGTCAGGACGGGGCCTCCTAAATTTATAATAATATATAATAATTAAAAAAAATACGGTAAACAAAGTTTAGGCCTTCTTTTGTAATACGATCGTTATTAATAGCTTAATGTTAAATAATATACTATCAAAACATTTGCACTTCAGGTATGACAAATTGAAAGTTTCAGCTTTGTTCATTTCAATATGCTGGGCTTTCATAATAATAACATCATTTATATGACAGGTCATCAAGTGAAGGGTCATTTATAATTTTTATGCCAAAAATATAAAAATAATAAGCTCCCTCGAATACCTACCCCTCAAAAATCCACTTAAAATGAAGAAACATATGGTAGGCCTATCTAATATATTGGGAGTGAATCACTGTACAATAACTATAAGCTGCAAAAAGTGATAGATCGGGTTATACAGTTTATACCTGCACTTTGTCACCCGTTATACCACATAGACACGTGCAGATCGAACCATAGGCACTTCTTTCATAACTGACTAAAACGCACGCACATAATGGAACTATCTGATAAGCTAGAAAAGATTGTAGGTCGCTGCTATCGGTAACAGTTCATCGGCTTAGATAAGAAATTTTAAACTGCAATAATTATCACATTAACTAATGGCCATATAGTTATAATAACAACATTAACAATATGCTGTAAAGATTAAAGTTATTATTGAGATATATTGTTAACTTAGGAGCTTAATTGAAGTTAAATTTTAATTAATATTTAATATTCATTGTGATATACTGTCTCTTATACACATCTAGATGTGTATTGTTAATTCGAAATTTTAGGGAAATCATCACTTTTTAATCATTTTATGCGATTCTGGCCTAATTTCATGTGCAACCAGCTTTTCCATTTGTGTTGTTTTATATTATAGGCTATATCAAAATTTAAATGTTTATGCAATTTTAAATTATTCGTACATTTAAATATACTATTCGATGTTGTATCAATCTTAATACCTCTTTAACAATATATTATGTTAACAATGTTACACTCATGTAATTCAGCTTTGTGCTACCAGATGAGTTTTAATAAAAAATAAAATTGAATCGATTGTGTTTCTTACAAGCTTTTTAGGGGTTCTGTGAACTACATTAAATATTGTGTATTATTGTCGTACATACAGTGCATTGGCTATGTTAGGAAAATAAATTGCCATAACTGCACTTTAGGCCTATATTTTAAATAATTATCTCAAATAAAATAGAATTTGTTTTTGTATTAGGCCTAGTTTCAACTTTATATCCAAAGCGGAATTTCTGTACTTTGGGAGAAACTCTTTTAATTAGGCTTATTTCATTAGATAAACTCTTGAATTAATTATCTACAACTTTACTAACTATGTGTTTGGTAAAAAAGAAAAAGCTATCCTGCAGTGTAAAAATAGAACAATGGACAGTGACCTTCTAGCTTAGCTCTCAATGTAGCACGAACAATAAACATTAAAGCTAGCCAAAGGAATACAGGAGGAGCTTAGAAAAATCTCACAAAATAAAAGATAATATTACAGCCTAAATAAGTATACTTAAAAATTTTAATAAGAACAACTATAATCAACAAACATAATGACAAACTACTGCCTAAAATATGTAGATTTACCGACGAAATACCGACTGAAAACCAAGACTATGTAATGAATGTGCACAGCATGACCTCATGATAATTATTTGTATCACTACCACTACCGCTGACGCTACCGATGCCGCTGGTGGTGCTGCATGGTGGTGCTGTTGATGCTGGTCTTTAAGGCAATGTATCTATTAAAGGTTCTGCTTCAAGTTGGTTGCCTGTATCTAGTGGCGTCCCACAAGGCACAGTGATTGGTCCAGCTTTATTTCTGGTCTACATTAAACGATTTATTCGAAGGAATTGAATCCGATGGAAAATTATTTGCAGATGATGTCATATTTTTCGAAAGATTGACTCGCTCAGTGATAGAGATAGCAAGATCTAAGTAAACTGGTTCAATGGAGTAAGAAGTGGTTAATTGAATAATTCAATAAGTCTAAATGCAAAGTAATGCATATTGGGAAGAAGAATCACATTATACCTACTCGATAGATATCGCATCTCTGAACACAACCTGTGCAGAGAAAGATCTTGGAGTTTACATTACTTTCAATTTTAATGTTTCTTTCTTCTTTCTTTCTTTTATTAATATTTCAAGAGGAATATGTCCCACTCAGCAAGGCTGATTTTCAGGGGAGTCCTCATCACAACAAACAAGTTACAAAAGAGACACAAAGCAGAGCAAACAGCGAAAACAGCACATTCATAAATTTAAAAAAAAACAAAAACAAAAACAAAACGCCAATAAATTATTTTATAGTTTTTAAAAATAGTATAAAAATATATCATTATTAAATTGTAAGTGATTTCCTTTAAAAGCGATGTAAAAATATATCATTATGTAGAAAAAGAAGTTTCGACACAAGTTTCGAAAGTCGCAGCGAAAGCTAATATAGAGACATTGGTCAGATTCGCAACTCTTTTACTTAAAGTTCATAGCGCATTATGCCTCTCTTGTATGCCCAATTATAGTGTATGCTGTGCAAGTGTGATCTCCATACTTACAACAAGATATTATAAAACTTGAGAAGGTACAACCTGTTTGCCTTACGAAGAGCGTAGACTTCAGCTTGGGCTTCCAACACTACAAGAAATAAGGGAGCGTGGTGATCTCATCGAGGTTTTAAAAATCGTAAAGGGTTTGAAAATATTGATCGCCGTTCCTTCTTCTAATTAGCATCCGAATCTGGTCCTAATATAACTAGTGGTTCATCATACAAATTAAGCAAGCCAATATGGGAAACAACTAAACGAAGCAATTTCGCGTGTAAACATTTTCAAAAACAAACTTGACAAATATAACATGCATGAGAGAAGAGGCACCTTACGAGTATAATTCACAGCCTCTTAAAATTTTCTAACTTTAGTGATTTCAATTTCCAGATCTTTGTATTCTTTGACCGAGATGTTGGTGTCATGGGGTACTGCCATGTCGATGATCATACAAGTTTTTGCTTTTCGATCTTTGATAACAATGTTAGGCTTATTTGTTTTGATGGTCCGATCGGTATGGATTGTAAAATTCTAAAGGATTGTCACATTCTTGGCACTGGTGACTTCAGGAGGTTGGTGGCTACCTTGATCTTATAGTGTCTGCATACATTCCAATGTATGTACCGACCTAGCCAACGCCCTACCTTGTAATCCTAGGCGTTAAGACCGGACAACAAGCCATAAGATGATCTATTGTCTCATCTGATCTCTTGCAGATGCATCAGAGAGGTTCAGTACCGTCTCTCATTATTTTAGCTTTGTATTCGCTTTGGTCCTGTGCGGCTATTAAGAGACCTTCAGTTTCTGCTTTTAGGTTGGAACCATAAAGCCACTGATGGGTGCATTTTTTGCTGCTGCTGCCGCTGCTGCTCGCTGCAGCAGAAAAGACAGTTCCAATAACACATTGGAGAATTTATTAAATTGTTCTTTATTCGAATTTGAAATAGTCAATCCGTAGAGAGTATACACTTCTGAGATTATATAGTATTTTCACGTAATTTCATAGACTAAATATACTTGTTTGATTTTTGAAAGCGATAGTGCTTCTTGTTCATTAGATAACAAAATGAGATATATAATATATAACGAGATATAGAGATAGGGCGTACTTTAATAACTTTCAGTTTCATTAGATGTATATTGTTTGAGTTCGGCTGTTTTAAGCCGGGCACTCACTGCGCCCGACGGTCGTCGGCCAACGCGATTCTATGGAAAATGCAACGCGACGACGCTCGCGCATCGGGTCGATTTAATGACGATCCGTTCAGGCTGCCACAAACAGCCAGCAGCCGGCGTCACGTCGTCTGTCGCTCACCGGGAGCAGAGTTGGATTCGTCGTGCGATGGTCGTATGACCATCGTACGACGCAGTGTGAGTGGGCTGAGGCTATCGGCACTGCCCCAGTGCCAAAAAAAGCTGCTGTTTTCTATCGGCACTTCCACAGTGCCAAAAAGCTGCTGTTTCCTATCGGCACTGCCGCAGTGCCAAAAAACTGCTGTTTTCTATCGACACTGCCACAGTGCGAAAAAAGCTGTTATTTTCTATCGGCATTATTGCCGTAGTGCGAAAAAAGCTCAGATTTTCTATCAGCACTGCCGCAGTGCCAAAACACTGCAGTTTTCTATCGACACTGCCACTCGAAAAGCTGCTGTTGACTTATCAAATGGATGTTTTTATCTATAGATTATGGTATCAATAATTGGTTAGGTCTAGCCTAGCCTATAATATTGTTAACATTATAATATATATGGTTTACAATTAAATTATAATTATTTTTAATTATTATATATATACATAACCTACCGTATATCTAGGCCCATACATAAAACAAAAAATAAAACAAAAATTTAAAAATAAAATAGTAATAATAATAATAATAATAATAATAATAATAACAGTGCTCGAAATGAATAAAAATTGTTCAATTAATGAGATGAATCAGCATATATTAAATCAACTTGCGTCTATGCAAAACCTGTTTTTTTTTTAAATAAAGGTGTTATCTATTTTATTCTGCTATTTTAAAAAATATTCTTTATTTTCTATGATAATTTTATCCAATAATTCATGTTTTCAATGTTAGTATGGTTGATAAATAATACATAAAATAATAATAATAATAATAATAATAATAATAATAATAATAATGATAATAAT